AAGAGGTGTTTGGAGAAGGTCTGACTCACCCTCCATGGCCTGCCTCTTAGGCCCCTGTCCCCCAGTGCCCAGCATCGATGCCCCCTGGCCAAGCAGCAGTGGTTACAGAGGGAGCAGCTAGGCTGCCTGCGTGGGGGCTGAGACTGGTGGGCAATGGTGAGAAGTTCAGGAGCAAAGTGGGGGTCAGGGGCATGAAGTAGGGCCCCATCTACTTGGGATGAGAGTGAACAGCGGAGCTCAATGAAGACAGACCCTTGAGGTGCACTTGCACGCAGGGGTGGGTTTATTCCGCACTGTGCTTGTATGCTGACAGAGCGAGAGCTCGGGGTGGCTTGGGCTCCTCCAGGGATAGGGAAGAGAGCCCCTCTTCCCCCCTCTCTCCAGAGACCCTATCGTGGCCCTCCCCACAGCCATGGGGAACCATCTGCATCCCAAGGGCTGCAGCAGGCCCAGCCCTGTTATGGCCTGGGCTGCCGGCCGTGGGGTGCAGCCTCTCCAGGGGCTGGGTCGGACTTGCACGCTGCCCACATCCAGACTCCAAGGAAGATGAATTGGCTGCACACCGCCCCGGCCACATACACAAGGAAGAAGATGTGGTCGGCAGTCTCAGCCCAGCTCCTCCTAGACCCCTTGATGCCTCTGGGGGCTTCTGTGCGGGCAGAGGCAGGGAATGGAACTGTACTTCTGGGCTCCCCCAACATGAGCAGAAGGGTGAACACCAGGGGTTGTCAGCTGGTATCTGTCCCTTCCTTAGAGTCTCAACTAATGAAAATTTGAGTCTAGCCCACTCCAGGCCATGTTCAGTTGAACAAACAAAACACCCTCTTGGAGAGAGGCTTTACAAGGTGTGGAGTCATCTGGCGGGGAGGGAGTTTAGGTCACCTGGGCTTTTTAGGAAGGCCAACTTTCCTCCCTGCTCCAGACCTGCTTCTTCCAAGGTAGGACATGGTGGGGCCCAGGGACAGCAGAGCCAGCAGGGTGAATGCTACACACGCCCAGCCACCCCTGAGCCCTGACCCCAGCCCTTGGCGTGCAGCCTGCCAGCTCTGCCCCTTCAAACCTGCTCCTAGGCCTTGTTCCTCACCAACCCCCATGCCCAGGCTCAGCCCCTTCCCACCTTTAGGGTTCGGCCCTGGGTTCTCATGGTCTCGCCGTTCCCCTCTTGAGGCTGGGCTGGGGCTGCTCTTGGCCCCGAGGGTGCCTCGGGCCAGCAGCCCGGCCAGCAGCACGGTCTCCATGGTGCTGAGGAAGAGCAGCAGCAGCAGGACGGTGAAGAAATAAACTGGAGGTAGGAGGGAGGGATGGTCAGGGGCCAGGCCTGTGTCTCTGGTGCCCAGAGAGCTGAGCAGAGGCACCCTGGCTCGGGTGACAGCAGGTGGGCTAAACGGGGCCAGCCAGGTGGAGTGGTCCTGTCCAGGCCCAGGGGAGGGGCAGGGCTTACTGAGCAGTGGGTTGCAGGATGAGGAGCTGGGCAGGGCCTGCACCAGGGAGGTGTGGAAGACGAGGTAGCCCAGCAGCAGTGTCACCTTATAGGCAAGGCGCTCGGTGGCCCGGAGGGGCAGCAGCCCCCCACACACGTCAGCCAACAGCAGCGCCTCCGCAGGCACCAACAGAGCTATGATGGACTTTAACGCTGTGTTCTTCAGGCTCAACTGGAAGGGGAAAAGCCAGGACTTTCTGGGCGGCGGTATTGGGGTGGGCAGCAGGAGCATGGGGTTGTGCCTCTGGCTCTGCACCCCCCCACCGCCACCTCCATCGGCCTGCTGTCAGCCTCGTCCTGACTTGACTCACCGTCAGCTGGAAGCAGGGCACCAGCTGCCTGGGTGGGACTTGGATTGTCAAATCATAAAGTACATATTCCCTCTTGACACTCACAATCTCGTTCACAGCGTGGGCCTGGAACTCCATCTCCATCGCTGAGAGGGGTGGGAGTGAAAACCTTGAACTGGGAAAAAGAGACCCCTGCCCCCAAATCTCTCCTGGGAGTAGGGCCAGGAGCAAACTGGAGCCCAGGGTTGATGGAGACTTCTCCTGGCTTCTGGGGGGCAGACTTGGAGACAAAACTGGTTCATAGGAGGGCTTCCCAACTCCTTTGGGGTTTTGCAACATGCCAAATTGTCTCCAGTTAAAGGAAGGTCTTTATCAAATCCATAGATGAATTTTCATTGTAAAAATAAATGGGCTTTTCACCACTTCATGGAGGGGGAAGTGGTCACAGATTCATCCACCAGTATATCATTTCACAACTGAAATATTAGGGCCCATGGGGCAGTGGCTGCGGTCTGTCATGGAGGAGAGGGATACGAGAAGGGGAGGACTTCTCTGCCAAGTTAGATGTCATCTGATGGGTTTATGGGATATTTGCTGGGTGACTACACCTTCAGGTTTCCAGGAATGAGGCCAAAGCCTCTGGCCTTGGTGCAAGGGGCCTGGCCACTGCAGTGCAGCCCTGGCTGTTGAGAGCAGTTGCTCTGGGGAGGAGAGAAGACTGAAGTGCCCCAGATGCACAAGATGGTGGACCTGCTGCAAGTTTGGAGCTGTGACCCTAGAGGGAGGCCATGAGGCCAGCTGAGAGCAGAGGAGGAGGAGGAGATGGGCTGCTGTTTGCGTGGGAGTGTCCCCTAAGCAGATGTGAGCTCCGACCTAGGAGGCCCCTCCCCTCTGCCCTCACCCCTCTGCCCCACCCCGTCAGCACCAGTGTTGCTGAGAGCATAGAAGCTAAGGCTGCAGTGGCTCTGGTCCCAGGGGAAGTGGAGGAGGTCGAAGTTGCAGTTGGTCTCCGTGGTGAGGGCCAGGTTGAGCTCAACGTGGCCATCCTGGTGCACTCGGGCCTGTGGGCTCCTGTCCCTCCAGTCTACCCAGAGCCTGTGGGGAGAGGTACCAAAGCCGGAGGCCCCGGCCCTTTCTTGCATTGGGGCGAGGGAGACCCCGACATCCCACCTCCAATCCCAGCCAGCATCAGGGTTCCAGCAGGGAAAGGGGAATGCGAGGCAGTGGAAGCAAACTGGTAGTGTGGCAGGACCGCTGGGGCGAAGATTCGCTAAGAGCCTCCGGGCTCTAGATGGGGAAAAGGAGGAGGGACGTGCACGGCATGTTCCTCAGACAAGAACTTCCGCCTTACTTACGCCTCCAGGATGGTGAGTCTGGGCGTCCAGAGTGAGTCCTGGGGCAGTGTGACGGCGCGCTGTGGGTGCACACTGGCGTTCCAGGCCAGGCGAGTGTCCAGCCAGGACTGGGGACACAAGGATGCCACTGAGGCTCCCACTCTCCACATATGTGTGCCTCGTGGCACAAATATGTGCCTTGAAGCTCGGCAGGTTGATAAAGGCCAGTACTACTGAGCTGGACTCAGCTGGGTTCTCCCATCCCACCTCTCCCGGGAGGCGAGCTCACCAGCTGAAGCAGCAGCATGGAGGACACTGTGTACTGCAGGATGTCCTGGGGGAGGGGGAAGCACGTCACCCTATGACAGAAGGAGGCAGAAGACCCAGCACTAGTCAGGGCTGAGTCCTGCTCCCTCCCGCTAGCTCAGCACTTGGTGGGTCCGGCAGCCTGGCGGTGCTTACCACATTAAAAACATTGGACACGAACACCTTCGCGGCCACAAGCAGGGGTGCACTCCCGTTGTTCGGAATCTGGATGGTTTCCTCAGCCTCTTGGGACAAGTTGAGGTTGAAGAGGGATGGCCAGGCTGAGGGACAAAGGTTGAGATCACTCAGGTGCCCTGGGGCCCAAATCCCAAAGCTTATGACCTTACACCCTCCACCTACCGACTGCTGGCCTTCGGAAGCTGCGCCCATGGACCGAAGGCTGGGTGATGCCAAGCCCCAGGGAGGTGAGATGGAGCAGAAGCCACAGGGCCGTCATAAGTGGCTGCATGGAGCAGTGGTGCCTAAGCTACCACTTCTCTTCCAGTCGCTTCTCTGGCAGCTGAGCAGTTGGCCAGAGGCAGCTGCTCTGGGCAAGGACCCTGGGACCTTGGACTTGGCACCCCCCACCTCGGTTCCGCAAACACCCAAGCACAAAGCCCAGGACCCAGCCTCGCCCACTCCGCACCTGCCTAGACTTCCCTGTGCCGCTCCATTTCCACCACCTGGAACTCACTGTCACACTCAAAGCCTGCTGAGGGGCACAAGCGGGCCTGGGACCTCCACCTCCCCCCAACTTGGTCCTTCCAATCAGGGCTGCAGGCTTCCCCTGCATTTCAGTGGCTGGCACTGGTCTGGCTAAGAAACCAAGCCCTTAGTCAAAGTGCCTTGTGCTCAATGCTTTGAGATGGGGACACTCTTGAGAGTTTCCCTGCCTCTGCTTAAACACTTGAGAGAGCCTTGCTCAAGAACTCTGGGGACAGACAGAGGCCAGTTCATGAGCAAAGACCTGGTGCGTTGCTGTTCCCGCACTGGGTTCTCAGCTTGCCCCAGCCCAGCGGTGCCTTAGAGTCTCCGTTGTGCACCTGTAGCCCAAACTGCCAGGCCAGGGCTGCTTTTCCTGGCCCCGGGGAGAAACTGAGCCACTGGAGATCTGATCCTGACCCAGCTGCAGCCACCCAAGGAAACACCAAGGCCAAAAGTGGGTGGGGACTGACTGGGCTGCCCAGACTCAAAGGGGCCCCAGGCAGCTGGAAACAGGGAAGGACTTACCACACACCAGTGCACGAAAGCGAACTAGGAGCACACATAGTGTCTGTGTGTGTCATCGACCGACTTTATTGAACACGCTTAAACACTTTGCCTGCCTCTGTCTCACGCACTGGTGGCTGCTGGTTCTGGCGCTTCCGGATGGCCACATGAAAAGAGCCTTCAATCGTCCCACACTCCCCAGTCTCAGTTAGGGATTCTTATGCGGATTGTAAGTGGGCTGCCTTTGGTGCAGCCCACCCTCTTTCTTTCCTGGTAGCTCAGAAAGGGCCCTGCACGCATTCCTCCCCAGCCACCTGCCAAGTCTCCGAGGCTTCTTCCTATGGAGCCTCAAGACAATGAGAATTGCAGAGCCACAGCGCATCACCGCATGTGAAATGGTTTGTGGTTTTATTAACAGACAAAACTCTCCCCAAGATCCCAACCAATGACTCCAACCCCTTAACATCCAAGCGTACCCTGTAAGTGCCTTCAAGTCACGTTAACTGTCAGGACGCTGTTGCCTGCCTTTTGGCCTCTCCAGGAAGGGCCAGGGACTGGGCTCGAGGGTGCGTGACTGGCGAGGTCTGGGGCAGGGACAGGCCCGGCCGCCTCGCTCACGTGCGTCAGGTCGGTGGACTCCCGCTCCAGCACGCTGCCGCTGTGGGCGCCTGGCGCGGCCACGCACACGCGGCCCGAGGCTCGGCGTGGGACACGGCCCAGCAGGCCAGCGCAGATCTTGCGGAAACCCTTGCGGAAGTGCTTGGACACCAGCGCGTAAACGATGGGGTTGACGCAGGAGTTGGCATAGGACACCAGGTGCGAGAGGATGCGCAGCGCGTAAGTGGTCCGCGTGAGTGGGAAGCGGCCGAACCACACGCACAGGATAAGCGCGTGGTGCGGCATCCAGCAGAGGCAGAAGAGCGCCGCCACAATGAGGATCATGCGCGTCACCTTGCTCTTGGCGCGCCGGGCACCTGAGCCTGCGGCCACCGGGTCGACGGCGCGCCAGAGGTAGCGCAGGGTGCGCGCGTAGGTCAGGCCGAGAACCAGCACCGGCAGCAGGTAGCTGAAGACGAAAGTGCAGAGGTCCATGGCGCGGCGGCGAGGCGCGCTCCACGCCGGGTGGCACACGGTCAGGTTGGCCAGCTGCGACTGGCGGTAGTAGCTCAGGTAGGGCCCGGAGAAGAGCAGCGACAGTCCCCAGATGAGCCCGATGGCTGCCAGCGCGTTTCGAGGCGTGCGCAGCTCGCGGGAGTGCAACGGGTAGCGGATGGCCAGATACCTGTGGTCAGGCCCAGGAGGGGGGCGTCAGGGGAGCTGGCGAATTGGCGCGGCTGCGACCCCTGCACCTCGGGCCCCACACCCGTTCTTGAGGAAGGTCCCTAGCGCAAGGTTACACCGCACACGCCAGAACCGTGGCCCACCGTGTCCCAGATACTCTCGGCTGAGCCTAAAGGTGGGGAGCGGGGACCGGCAGCAGGAAAGGCGCTTGCGCCCAGGCCACTCTTCTGCTGTTCCCGGGACTGCGACCACAGACTCCCCCGGGAGGGCACCCCAAAGCCGCCGAGTATTAAAGGTTGGAGAACCGGCTATGGGGCTCTGGGAGGCTGTGATTACCCTCTAGTGATGGTGCCCCAGGAGGCAGGACCCAGGCACCTACGGCTCTAGCAGACAGCCTGCAAAAGACATGCTGGGCAAGGCACAGCCTCTCAGGGAATTCCTAAGAGAAGCCGGAGCTCTGTGGTCCCACCAAGGCGCTCAGGGTAAATGGGCGGTGCGTGGGGAGTCAGACCCGCATCTCCTCCCCAGGAACCGTCCTAGTGTCCTTTCAAGCTCCACCTGAGTCCTGCGCTCTCCCTAAGGTACCTCTCTCGCCCTCCTCTGGCTGGGGAGGAAGAACCCAAGGGCCGCTCCTCTCCCGATCCCGAACTCCCAGGCCTGGAGGCGGGCGCGGACAGCGAGGGACCCCCAAGCGCTCTCGCTCAGACTTTGGCGTCGGTCCTCGAGAAAGACCCACGTTCCACAGTCCGTACCCGAAGTGACTGCGCCAAGCAACCAAACCGTGGCTTCGAGGCGAGTGCGGTGGAGGCGCCTGAGGTTGGCTCTAGGAGACAGATGGTGCGCTTCACGCACACAATTACTGAAGGGGCGGCTCTGAGCAAGTTACTTACAAACTCATTTTCTTCTATAAATTGGGCACAGTAGTTTCTCCCTTCCCAACTTCACAGGGGCATTAAACTCTTTGTACTGGGAAACGCTGGGCATTGTCAGACACAGACAGCGCCCGAGAGCCTAATTCTCCAGGACGTGAGCCCCGAGGACGCACATAACCGAGGGACACCACCGCACCCCACTCTCATTTCCTTTTCTCCTCCTCTGTGCCTGCTTGTCTTTCTCTCCCTCTGGTCCCTTTGCCATCTTAGTGTCCTCTCCCACTCTCTGCGTGTCCCTCCTTGATCCCCGAGTCCCGCCTCCCTCTCCAGTCCCCGCCTGGGTGCCCAACTCCTGGAGAAGCCAGAGCGCTGGCTCACCTGTCCAGGGAGACGGCGGCGAGCGTGAAGCTGCTGGCATGCATGGTGAGGAAGATGAAGAAGTGCACGGCCTTGCAGAGCAGCGAGCCGAACACCCAGCCGTCCAGGGTGTAGATGGTGGCCTGGAAGGGCACGCAGCACAAGATGAAACACAGGTCGGCCACGCCCAGGTTGAGGATGAACAGGTTGGTGGTGCTGATTGCCTGGCCGCCGCGCAGCAGCACCGCCAGCACCAGCGCGTTGCCCACGGTGCCCACGAGGAAAATGAGCGCGAAGAGCAGCGGCACGATGACCGCCTCGGGCTGCCAGCCGCCCGCGCCGCCCGCCTGGCTCGCGTTCTCGGCCCCGGGGCCGCCCGAGCCGTTCATGGTGCCGCCGCACGCTAGGCTGCCCGGGCTCCTGCAGCCGTCTGGGTCTTGGCTAGCGCGCAGCTGCCGCGGCTGCGGCCACGGCGGTGCCCAGGGTGACTCCCGCTGGCTGCAGGCGGAGTGCGCCTCGCGGTGTCGGGGTGGCGGTGGGCGTGGGGTGCGCTTGGGTCAGGGGGAGGAGCGAGCAGCCAGTGGGCGGGATTGTTCCCCGCGGCCGTTAGCGCTGAGGGAAGGGATACGGCGCGGCCCCGGTGGGGCGCACGTCCCTCCCCGAAGGCGGAGAGCCGCGCTTGGGCCTGCTCCCGCGCTCCGGCCCCCGGCTACCGGCTGTTCTGGGCTAAGCCGGCGAAGTGACTTCCCGGGCAGACGCCGGAGTGGTGGAAGGACCGACCCTGGTTCCTGCGTGTGCGCCGCGCTGCAGGGAGCACCCGCCAGGGACCCCGCGCGCCTTGGCGCTTCCCGGCAGCTTGTCGGGAGCGCCAGACCTCCGGGGACTGGCTGGGGGACACCCTCGAAAGAGTTCCAGGCCAGACCCTGGGGGATGGGCCGGAGGCGGATTGGGGGGCCCCCAGTTTTCCGGAAGTGCAGAAGGAACAGCCCCGCAGCGTGCGCCTCTGCCCATTTCTAATTCCAGGGAGCATCGGAATTAATTTCTAATTCAGTTCCCCCGGGAGCAGAGTGGAGGGGCGGGAGGGGGAAGGAGGGTTCTGAGGAAATTTGGTTAGCTTCATCTCATTCCCCACTCCCACCCATTGGGCGTTTTCTTCTCCAATTCAGTCCTGTATTTGTTGAGCATCTACTGTGTCAGGCTCTGTCTTTGGCGTTGTGCCTCAGTTTCCTCTGCTGTGATAATAATAGTAACAGAAATAGAAATAGTAACACTTCCTTCTCAGAGGGCTCTGACGAGAAAGGAATGAGAAGCACTTGAAAGGCCTGAAGCCCATTCGTTGAATCTGAATTAATCAAATTTTTCTTTTTCTCCTTACCTTATTCAGGTATCTAAAAAGGGAGGAAATTCAAAGTAGCCGAGATCCATACACCATCAGCCTTTTCCTAGACGGTGCTTACTTTGCAATAAAACTTAAACATTCGTGTCTTTGTGTCTACATGAAGTATACGTGGCAATGAATCATTACTATTTCTGTAGAATTTAAGCTTCCCAGCTCACCGAATCTGAAAACCACCACCTTCTATCTCTGCAGCTTCCTTTTTGCTTCCCCTTCCCCGATCCTTGGGTCCCAGTCAAGAATATTCTTCTGGCGGGGGCAAGGGCAACATACGTAACCTAAACATTTGTACCCCCATAATATGCTGAAATAAAAAAAGTAAAATTATTTTAAAAATGTATCAAAGACCTGAAAAAAAAATTCTTTTTCCTTTTTATGCCCCGGGATCTCAGCCTCTCAGGAGCACAGCTACCTCCTCCTCTTGGTTGAGAAACCTTATTCACACCCTTGCCCTGCCTGCCTATTCACTGAACAGGAAAGTGATGACAGTTCATGCTGATGAGATGCTTACCATTCCTTTATTCAATAAACTTTTATTAAGCACCTACTCCTCACCCTTAGGATATAACATACCAGTGAGTTCTACAAAGATCAAGGCCCTCTGGGAGCTTACTTTCTAGCAGGAGAGACAGAAATAAGCAAATAGACATAATTTAAGTAAGTTACAAGTTGATAAGTACTTGCAGGAAAAGTAGATCAGAGAATTGGGGAGTACCAGGATGGCGGTGATGGTGCAATTTAAAATAGGGTAGTCAGGCAGAACTCATTAAGAAGGTGACATTTGAGCGAAGACTTCAAGGAGGTGAGCAAGCCAAGCAGATACTTAGGGGAAGAGCATTTCAGAGAGAGGGCACAGCCAGAGAGAGGGCATAGTCTGAGTAGATTAAGGCATAGCAGGGTTTTGACTAGAGGACTAACATGATCTCATATTTTTTCGTAGCAGCTTTATTGAAATATAATTCACATGCCATACCATTTACCCATTTAAAGTGTTCCTTTTTAGTATGATCACAGAGTTGTGCAACAATCGCCACAATCAGTTTTAGAATATTTTCTTCCCCACCAAAAGAAACCCCTACCCTTTAGCCCGTCTCCAATCCCCCATATTCACCCCCATCCCACCTCCAGCCCTAGACAACCACTAATCTTTTTGTCCCTATAGATTTGCCTATTAAGGATACTTCATATCAATGGAATCACACAATATGTGGCTTTTTGTGTGTGGCTTCTTTCACTTATTATGATGTTTTCAAAGTTCATCCAGGTTGTGTGTAGCATAATCAATACCTCATTCCTTTTTTATGGCCAAATAATATTTCATTGTATGGTTATATTCCACATTCTACTTTTCAATTCATTTATCAGTGGACATTTGGGACAGTTTTAACAAAATTTTAATTGGTTATCACCATTTCACAGATGAGGGAGCAGGTTTAGAGGGAGATTAAGTTACTTGCTCAACATCTCCCAAGCAGTAACTACGGAGCAGGCACTGAGCCTCAGGACTCAGATTCTAGCGGCTGCAGAGCAAAAATTCATATTCTCCCATCCCCCAATACTTCTCCCTCTTTGGACTGATCGCTCTGAAGTCCAGATGTCCACAGGTCCCAAGCAGTATGAGAAAATCCTCACGTTGGGACATTGCCTGCTGGCTGTGCCAGCGCTTACGCTGGTCATCGCTTTTCCACGGTCAGCCCCAGAGGAGAATGCAGAGGGGGTTCCCTCAGAGGCGGGGTGCTTCGTTCTGCAGAGGGAAACCCCGTCTCCCGAGTCCCAGGGGAGGCAGAAACCCCGAAACCTAAAGTCCTTAGTCTCCCGCCCTCTGCCGTGTGGGACGTGAGCCCGATCCCCAGTGCTGGGATGCAGGAGGTAGGGGTCCGTCTCCAGTCCTCCCGCCCTTGGTGGATGGTAGGTAGGATTGCCCCGGAGAAGACCTCAGCCACCGTTTCCCGGTGTCTGCGAGCCACCAGCCTAGCCCGCCACGGTTCAGGACCCGGGAATCCGAGCCCTTGCGCAGGCGCGCTCCAACAAAAGGCTCCCGCTCCCGGGGCTAGGAAGGGCCGTCGGCGCGGAGTCCGCCGCTATCCCATCAGCCCGGCCTAGCGGGTCCCGCTCCTACCGGCCCCGGTCGTCCCGCCTCCTCTATCCCGTCCTGCTCTGCGGCGCAGGGGTAAGATGGCTGCTGAGAAGCAGGTTCCTGGCGGCGGCGGCGGTGGCAGCGGCAGCGGCGGTAGTGGCGGTGGGCGCGGTGCCGGAGGAGAAGAAAATAAAGAAAACGAACGCCCCTCAGCTGGATCGAAGGCAAACAAAGAATTTGGGGATAGCCTGAGTTTGGAGAGTATCCTAGAGCAATTGGGCCTAACTTGGAATGACTACGTGTCGATCTGGAGGGCTGGGGGCGGGAGAGTAGGCGAGTCCCGGCACGTCCTGGGCAGGAGAGGCCGAGCGTTGCTCTCCTTACTTTCTGGCGCTCAGAGATCCAGGGTCTGTCTCTCGAGCGGTCTTTCCGTGCGTCCCCCTCGCCCTCCTGGATGGGTAACGTCCTTTTCTTCTGGGCGGCACAGGGGTATTTGGCAGGTTTCCCCTGTTGTCTCGCAGTTGCCCAGTTGGAGGGCTTGTGACGGGGGTGACACTCTGGCTACTTTGCTGAGCTCTGGCCTTGGCACCTTGAGCCAGTGAACTGGGGAGAGGAAACGGCAGTCTTGACGTTTCGGCTTAATACTTTTGTCTGACAGCCGTCGTAGACCGGGTAGTAAAACTTAAAGCTTGATGCTTTGGAAGTGGAGGTAAAAATGGACTGTCTGAGGAAAAGGTTGTGCTCATTTTGATTATAAAGTCTGGTTGCTTGTTAGTATCAGTTGTGTGGTTTTCCTAATAGGTCTGCAGGCATTTTATCTTGTTGGGAGTCGTTTAGATGAGCTGGAGGAATCGATTTCTAGTTTTCGTTAGTGTGTACCTGAACTGAGTGCTTGTGATACTAGTTTGTGACTTTTTGCAATGAAAAATAAATGGAGAAAATGTACGCAAATTTCTGAAATAACTCATTCAGTTTGACATTTTAATGTACTTAAGTTTTCAGGGGTCTGGAGTTTTACTTTTTGAATTGGTGGTAATAGTACCAAATGGATGTTAGAATGCGCTGATTTTATTGGGAACCTTCTATCTTTCTGTCCCTTTTTAGTTATTGAAAGAGTCCTTTTAGTGTTCACTGTTCACGTCTATAGAGAAGCATTGAGGAAACAAAACTAAAACTGTAGCTAAAGATTGGTCTTCCTAAAGTTTGGCGCACAATATTAAATATTTTAAGATTCTTAAAAGGAGAGTTTGGTTAAGGGTTCATCTTTAAAAACAATAACCTTAATATTTTTATGCAAACTGTGGCCTAGCTTGGTTGACATGTGTTAATCATAGACTCCTGAAGCATCACAGCTGTTAAGGAAAGTTGGATTTGGCAGATGTAGGAGGTTATGCAAACGGATCAGTAGTACACGTCATTTATAACATGAATCTGCTTGATTGAGTAAAATGTGGGGTCCAGGTGTAAATCAGTGGGAACCACCCCAATTATAGTCAGCATTTAGAATCCAGCAGCTTTCTTTAAGCCGTTGGTTTTAGCAATCCCCAATTGCTAGTAGTGTCCTCCTTTTTTAGTTTGAGAGTAGTAACAGTTCAGGCAATCAATGCTTGCTTATCCTTGTCCTATGACAGGATTGGTATTGAAAATGGTTACAAGAGATTTCATTAATGCACTAAATATTTCACAAATGTTTAATGTCCTGTGGCCTGATAAAAATGTAGACTAACAGTACAGGTTTTGATTTATTTGGACTCTTACCATTGTAAGCTTTTCCTTAATCTTGACTTTAGTTCTTCAGATTATTAAGGAATCCCAGCAGCAGCATGGTTTACGGCATGGAGATTTTCAGAGGTACAGGTTAGTATCATGTACAAGATGTATGGAAATCGTTGTGGGATCTCCAAACTTCGTTTGCTTTTGTCAGTAAACTTATCTACTCTGCTATATCAGAAAGTGTACGTAGGAAGTCTAACAATGAATTTATATTGAATCCTCAAAAGTTATATAATTTTTTTTTTTTTTTTTTTTTTTTTAGAGACAGGGTCTCACTTTGTCACCCAGGCTGGAGTGCAGTGGCCCGAGTAGCTGGGACTACAGGTGTGTGCCAGCATGCCCAGCTAATTTTTTTCTTTTTCTTTTTTTTTTTTTTTGAGGAATGGGGTCTTGCTATGTTGCCCAGGCTGGTCTTAAACTCCTGGCCTTAAGTGATCCTCCCACCTTGGCCCTCCCAAAGTGCTGGGATTATAGGTGTAAGCCTATAACCAGGCTGGCCATAATTTTTAAATTTAAAATTTTATAATGAATAAAAGGATTCAACCCTTTTATCGATTTTGCCTGACAATATTACAGGTACATTTGCAGACTTCTGTTGAAAATAACAGGCAGTTGTGGTAATCATTTTTTTTAAACATAACCGTATTGTAGAATCTTAGTTAAATTCAGTGCTTTTCAGTATTTTAAACATTATATAAGGGGAATTTCCGTGATATTACAATTTACTGGTCTTCAAGTTGAAAAACAAATTTAATATGACTCTAAAAAATAGAATAGATACCTAATTTGTAATACAATTAAATTACTTGAAAGCAGCGTTATGCCTCTATTTCTGTATTGTAAGTATTATGGGCTTTGACTATTAAAATACTCTATATTTCAGATTCTTATTTATTCGTTCATTCATTCAAAAACATTTTGTGAGCACCTGTCAGGTGCCCAGCACTGTTTTATGCACTGGAGAGCATTAAAAAACACAGGCAAAGGTTCTTAATCTCAGGGAATTTACAAACGGAACAAACAGCAATGTCAAGCTATAGTGAAAATTAAAGAAAGGAGCTCCTCTGAAAGAAAATTAGATTGGGAGTGTGTCAAGAAAGCCCTTTCTGAGAGGGGGGCATTTAGGCGAGGACATGAAGGCTGAGGAGTCAGCCAGGTGGTGAAGGGTCAGCAGGGCTGGGATGGAGTGAGCAAGGCAAGTAGTGATAAGAGCTCATGAGGGAGAAGTGGGCAGGGCCAGGGTGCATAGGGCCCTGTAGGCTATGGTAACAAGTTCAGGTGTTAATCTAGGTGTGATGGGAAGCCACGAGAAAGTTTTAAGCGGAGAACTATTATGATCTGATTTTTTTTTTAATTATTAAGGAAATTTTCACACACTTATGTAGAGATGATAGTACAATGAATCCTGAATCCATCATTCAGTCATCGTAGTGACCAACTTTCTGCTCTTTTTTTTTTTGTGACAGAATCTCACTCTGTTGCCTGAGCTAGAGTGCTGTGGTGTCAGCCTAGCTCACAGCAACCTCAAACTCCTGGGCTCAAGTGATCCTCCTGCCTCAGCCTCCCAAGTAGCTGGGACTACAGGCATGCGCCACCATGCCCAGCTAATTTTTTCTCTATATTTTTAGTTGTCCATCTAATTTCTTTCTATTTTTTTAGTAGAGACGGGATTTCGCCCTTGCTCAGGCTGGTCTTGAACTCCTCACCTCAAGCGATCCTCCCGCCTTGGCCTCCCAGTGTGCTAGGATTACAGGTGTGAGCCACCACACCTGGCCTGCTCTTCTTATTTAATCTGTTTCTTTCCCTACATTTTTTTAAAGAAATGTTTTATCGAAAGGTTTAAAAATTCTATTCAAATATAATTTATGTATAGAAAATGATGAATTTTTCACAAACCGAACTCCTGTAACCAGCACCCAGATTAAGAGACAAAACATCACCAACATCCCAGAAGTCCCCCCTTTTGCCCCTTCTAATCACACACCCTTCCTCCCCAAGGGTCACCTCTATCATGACTTCTAACACCTTAGGATAGGTTTGCTTATTTTTGAAATTTATCTACATAGCATCACACAGCATGTATTCTTTTGTGAGAGTCTTTCTTCACCATTGTATCTGTAATATTCCTCCATATTTTTGTAGTTGTAGTTCCTTTATTCTTATTGCTGTATGGTTGGTATTCTCTTAGGTGAACATACCGTCATTTATATACCACTGTACTGTTGCTAGGCATTTGAGTAATTTGCAGTTTGGGCTATTACACATAGTGCTGTCATAAGCATTATTATACATGTTTTGGTGGAGAGAAGTAGTCATTTCTGTTCTTTTTTTTTTTTTTATAGAGACGAGGTCTCGCTCTGTTGACTGGGCCTAGAGTGCAATAGCTTCACCATAGCTCATTGCAACCTCAAACTCCTGGGCTCAAGACATCTTCCTGCCTAAGCCTACCGAGTATCTGGGACTATAGGAGAGCGACACCACACCTGGTTAATTTTTCTATTTTTAGTAGAGACGGGGTCTCACTCTTGCTCAGGCTAGTCTTGAACCCTTGAGCTCAAATTATCCTCCCGCCTTGGCCTCCCAGAGTGGTGGGATTATAGGCATGAGCCACTGCACCCGGCCTTGTTTCTGTTGGCTGTGTACCTGGGAGAGGAAAACTATGGGATAGGCTATGTTCAGCTTTAGTACCAAACAGTTTTCCAAAGTCATCGTACCAGTTTGCACAAACAACACTGCTTGAGAGCTACAGTTACACCACATCCTTGCCAGCAGTATGTTTTGTCTTATGTTTTGTTGCTGAATTATTTTAAAGCAAATTCTAGACATCATACTATTTTACCGTTGGTATTTCAGTTTGTATCTCCAACAAGTAAAGCTTTTTAAAAACTTAACCAAGATACTATTATCCCACCTAACCAAATTAACAATAATTCCTTAATACCATTTTATACAATGATATAAATGATGTAAAAGTATCTTTTTTTGGCTAGGCGCAGTGGCTCACGCCTGTAATCTTAGCACTCTGGGGGATTGAAGCGGGAGGAATACTTGAGCAAGACCCCATTACTCCAAAAAATAGAAAAATTAGCTGGGCTTTGTGGCATGTGCCTGTAGTCCCAGCTACTAGAGAGGTTGAGGCAGGAGGATCATTTGAGCCTAGGAGTTTGAGGTTGATGTGAGCTCTGATGATGCCACTGCACTCTACCGGGGGTGACAGAGTGACACTCTATCTTCAAAAAAGAAAAAGTCTTTTTTTTTTTTTTTTTAAGGCTAGTTGAAATGGAGTGGAGAAGAAACAAAAAAATCTGTAGCTACTTGTGCTTGATTAGCTATAAA